CACTGCCAAGCGCAGCATTGCTCCCCACAGCTTCGAAAGCGGAGGTTCGGGGAATTTTGTGAACGAGCTGAGAGCCGAATGCTCCAAACCCACATCAACTGTAACGCACAGCTGCTACGCCTTGATGCTTCTCCACGTCACAATCTGCTAACCCCGACGTCACGTCCTCTCTTCGCGTCGGTTCACCAGGCTGGGCGACGGAGCTGGGTGAAGAGCGCCGCCGGTGAAGCACCGGGTGAAGGAGCTGACGAGTGGCGACACTAGGCCTGGCGAGGCGATGGCCTCCAACCGATACCTCCGATGCAGAGGGTTTGGAAGATGACCGTTTCATCAAACACAGCACGGGAAAGTCGTCACCACTCTGGTTTACCACTCTCTCTATTTTTTTCATCGCCTGCCGATGGAAACGACGAATTAACGACTATGACCAGCAGCTAACCTCACTGTCAAAAGTGGACCCCGCAGTCCACGTGAAGGACTTGGAGTTCCAATGCGAAAGAGCTGCTCCGACTGACTCTGCAGGTGCAGTTCAACAAAGCTAACATCGGTCTATTCGACTTCGATTGCTAGCATTGGCTGATCCTGCCACCTTCGACGCACATCCTTAAAGAAGGCGGTTGGCAGCCAGGAGCACATGTCAGAACTCATAGCTCCATGGATGTTTGACCCTAAGTAGCCTATGAGCTTCTGCTAAATGTGAAGGTGCAGGATAAAGCGAATGTCGGGCTCCAACTCTATCCAAGTTAGCAGGACTGAGTCGCCACATGAGGCAAAAGAATCACACCAACTGTTTCAGCGGTCTGTTGTTCGGTCAATGTCATGATGTGAGGAGCTGGGAACACGACACACCTACCCCTTCAGAAAGCCAGCTGCGCCACGCGGTTCGTTCCCAAGTCTGCTTGAGAATACCTCTGGCGCACCCTCGGAAGAAGGTTTTTGTCTTCCTTCTTGGCCTTCAAAGCCTGACAAAGGGCTCGCAAAGCAGGAATTGATGTTTCACACCTGTACATAGCCAAGTCTGTGCCATGGCAACAAGGCCAAACAATGACATTCCAAGTGAACCCTACATGATATGACAGCTTTTCAGGGTGGCCACTCTGAATACTCAAAACGTTGGCTCTTTCGGCTTATTATTGCTTTGCAGATCTGCTTGGTAGACGCAGATTCGCTGCTTGTTTGGGCTTGTTTTTCTCGTTGATGTCTGTGTTGGGTTTGGATGGACAACACCGCCAAACCTTCGGAAGGATGAGTTGGCCCTGAGCTGAGGAAAAAGCGGGTGCGTACTCGGGTGCGTTGGCCCCACTAGACTGAATGCGGAGGGTGTTCCAGTTCCCTTGTTTTGTGCTGTCCTAGTAAGCCTTCGTGATAACCCACAAACCTGTCGGATCCTGCTAAGCCTTCACAGATCCCAAGCGCCAGAGAAACCAAGTCAAACCGGAAACCGGGTGAGCTTCGGAGCGAGTGATAACGAGATATCAACTCTTGCCACAGCAGTGTCCCAGTGAAACTCCCATCGGACGCACGGTTCCCACCGCTGTGGGTCGGGGCGTGGGTGCCAGGGCAAGAAAAAAAGGAACTGCCGCGGATCTCGAACCGCTTGTTGAGATCTCCAACAGGAGCCAATCTCCAACAGCAGCCAAAGGAAGACATGGTCCGAACTGTGGCGCACTGCCCGCCAGTCCCGCAGCGTGGGCCGCAGTTCACACTCTTCTTCTTAAGAAGGCTCACACCAGCTGTTTCAGCGGTCTGTTGTTCGGTCAATGTCATGATGTGAGGAGCTGGGAACGCGACACACCTACCCCTTCAGAAAGCCAGCTGCGCCACGCCGTTCGTTCCCAAGTCTGCTTGAGAATACCTCTGGTGCACCCAAAGGCTGACAAAGGGATCGCAAAGCAGGAATTTGATGTTTCACACGTGTCAAGGCAACAAAGCGTGCATATGTCACCTAGCCAAGTCTGTGCCGTGGCAACCAGGCTAAACAATGACATTCCAGGTGAGCTGCAAAACACATGCCATCATGGCTATGAGAGGATGGTTGAACAAATGGATTATTGCTTTGCTGATCAGCATGGTCTGCCAGCCAGCTGCTTTTCCCTTTGCAGATCCCCAGAGCCCAGGGCAACAACACCCAAGCCGTGTCAAATCAAGGCTTCGAGCCTCGGCAACACCCAGCTCGGCCGTTTCTCCCCGCAGAACTAGAGAACCCACATGTGATCTAGGACAACTGGGAATGGCGATCCTGCTGGTCTGGAAAAGTTCAACTTACAACTCAACACTGTTGTCCCAGATCAACGCGTCAGCGAGGGAGTTCCAGTTCCGTCAGGCAGATGCAGGCCAATTAATCTTAGCACGCCATCGACACGACCGGCATCCCTTCAGGAGGGTCGTCAGGAGCATGACGCTCATCCTTGGCTCACAGAGTTCAGCCAGCATGGACTTAAACAGAAAGGAAAGGATGACTCAACAATCAAACTTTGACCGGGGAGGACCTTGAAAGCAGGGGCTTTTCCATGTTGAACCGACTGGGGGGATAGGACACATGGCTATGAAATCAGCTAGAAATGGATGGTGATAGGTGATAACGTCTTAAACCCAACATGAAATCCTTCAGAGATTCACATCATTTGATGTTACACCGATTCAAACGGTCCGGACCTATTTGCAAAAACACTGTTGCGCTCAGCTATGCTAGGCGGGTGTAGAACACCCAGCCGGGTCTAGCAGCCTAGCACCTGACGGGCCTAGCGCCCCCAGTGTGACCACACTGTTGGGGGAAAACAAAAGAACATGAAAGTAATTAGTTTACTCAGTTTACTTGGCTTTCTGAGTCGTCTTTTGTTTTCGGTTCAAAAGGGGCCCCCAGCATGTCCGTGTGTTTGTTCTTACGTAATTGTCATGCCTAAGACACCCGAGGTCAAGAATCACGTGGACTTCCCCGTTCTGCGGCAAATAGCCCCGTTCTGCATCCCAACGATCGATTTAACAACTAGATGACGTGTTGAACCCTAAAACGGGCAAAGTGATTGGAGTAGAATCTTGGAACTCAAGGTCACCCAGCTTCGACTGCCACCTTCACATCTTCCTCTTGGACATCAGCGAGTGCGTCATGTTGGACCAATTGTACTGGCAGAAGTTCGCGTCACCGGCGGGGTGGGCAGAGTTGACCAGGTTGGACAGTGATGTTCGAGGATTATCTGGGCCGAGGATGATAACGTAGCGTGGGGCTGTTTTTTGAGTGCAAGTCAAGTGAGGGGAGACTTGTGTATGAGTACAGATGAAAAAAACAAAGAGGAAAAGTGGAAAATGAATGAACATTATGGAAATTGGTAACTTTCATGGGGTTGTTGGAGGCAGGACAGCCTTCGTGAAAACCCTAGCAAACTGAAAACTCCGTGGAGAAGAGCTTGAAGAAAGGAGCCCGTCGATGCCGGAGGCAAAATCGATGGATAGCATGCTGGAATATGCTGGATATTGCTGGATGCGTTCTGCGTTCACCTCCGGGGAAATTGGTTTACTGCCGGGCCAGCAGAGGCAGAGCTCCACAGACAGGGCACAGGCGTCTGGCGTCTGGCGATAGCTGGCGAGCGTCGGCTCCCAGTCGTATGGCGTGGCGCATGGCACGTCGTTAACAATCTGACTGGATCATCGACCAGTCGGTTGTTGGGTCTTTCTTGTAGTCTCTCCGACCTGATCTAATTGCGACTTATGGATCGACCATATCGACCTGTTCGTCTGTGTTCTCCGTGTATGTTGGGTCGACCTCTTCTTTCTTCGTGTTTGTTGCGAGTTCAACGGATTTCTCCAACGAAGCGAACGACGACCTCATCCGGCGGTGATGGCAGGCATTGAACGTCGACGGAGACGGTATGGCAGGCGTGGGCTGTCGCGTGAGGGGAGTGAAATGCTGACGATACGACACGAGGTAGAGGGTGACTTGGGGTGAGATGGAAGGCTTTCTTTCGGCAGAACGATATGGAGCCATTGCTCGGGCCGAAAAGAAGGAAAGGGGATGAGATGATGAGATGTGCTGCTGAGAAAAAGCCATGGCACCAATTCTTGTATAATTCCGCGGTGGGTTGAACGACACGTTCCTTTTCTTGCTGAGCAGGGGCTCTTGGCCTCCGCACAACAAGGAGATTCTTCAACGACATGGAAAAGGTACAGCACAACAGCGTGGAAACTCTCCAGCACAAAGCCACGAAGTGTCACCCTACCTACTTGTGCTCAAGAAGCTGCAACTTTCGGGTCCATCTACCCCTCACAAGAGAGGCAAAAGAAACTACATGACCCCTGCCGCCCAGAAATGTCTCAAGAATGTTGCCACATGACCTCTACACGTCCCTCGCCGCTGCTCGGGGCACCTGGAGCCTCTTCTGTGCCATCTTGTACGCCTCCTGGGCTGCAAGTGGCCGACACACGTAGTGAGGCATCAGTACGGATTTGCAGCGTGCGCCCAACTGCCCAAGTTACCCAACCCAAAGAGGTCGTTGAATCCAATGTCTATGTTGAAATACAAGCCTAAGGTAATGCATCTACTGCACTGCATCTATGCTATGGACAGGCGTTTTCCCTGTACATTTACCAGGAATTGGAAGGTAGACTTAGAGAATGCGATCTCGCCTCTGGCATGGTTTCCTTCAGGAACACCTTCTTGAGGATCTGGTACACCTTGTTCGCGCGGAAAGCATCGAGTTTAAAGTCCGGAATATATCGACTACTAGATTATCGCCTATGCCTATCAGCTGTACTGTCCAATTTGGGCTTGCATTTCAATTGTGAACACCCTCCAAATCCATCAGCTTGTAGGGAGTCTCGCTATTTCAAGGGATGAGACCAGTTGGAGACTGAATTTCCTGCGGATGGTGCGCCACGTGGTCGGGTTGGACAAACACACCAAACAGTGTGACCGCTCGCATGGCCCCAGGTCTACCAATGTAGGATTCTAGGGGGTAAGGGTTGACATAAGTTTGTGCTTCCAGAAGCGCAACTTTTGTCTGGCCAGTGTATTTACTTCCGCGAGTTTATGGTTGTCAACCACAGTTTTTCAATGACTTTTCAATGCAACACCGTTCTTGTGACGCAGGACAGCGCAAAGCAAAAATGTGCAAAAAAAAATGATCTGTTCAACATTTGCTTGTACACCTGTGTTTGTGTTGAATTGAAAAGTCATTGAAAAGTGCCTTTTAATCCCGAAGAAACAATCTAAAGGTTGTCCATATACTCGTGCAAGATATTGAACGGGTCAGTGTTTTTCACATGTTTGCTCTGCCCTGCGTCACATAAGGGGTGTTGCATTGCAAGGCATTGAAAAGTGATTGCTAACCCAAAGAAAAGATCAAAAGGTTTTCCATATACTCGTGGAAGATACACAAGCAGAGGTTGAACGGATCAGCCATTTTCACATTTTTGCTCTGCGCTGCCCTGCGTCACAAAAGGGGTGTTGCATTGAAAGTTAACTAAAAATTTTACTTTAGGCCAACAAAATAATCCAAAAAGTTTCCCAAATACTCGTGCAAGATGTACAGAGGTTGAACGGAGCAGTGTGTTTCACATTTTTGCTCTGAGCTGCCCTGCGTCACAAAAGGGGTTGTGTTTCAAAAGGTATTTGAAGATTAATTGTTTACCCAAAGAAACAATCTAAAGGTGTTCTATTTACTCGTGCAAGATATACAAGCAGAGGTTGACAACGGATCAGTGTGTTTCACATGTTTGCCCTGCTCTGCCCGGCGTCACAACAGGGGTGGTGCATCGAAAGGTCATTCCAAAATGATTGTTAACTCAGAGAAACAGTCTAAAGGTTTTCCATATACTCGTGGAAGATATACAAGCAGAGGTTGAACGGATCAGTGTTTTTCACATTTTTGCTCTGTGCTGCCCTGCGTCACAAAAGGGGTGTTGGATTGAAAGTTAATCATGATACCTTTCCTTAGGACAACAAAACAATCTAAAGGTTGCCCGAATATTCGTGCAAGATGTACAAAGGTTGAACGGAGCAGTGTTTCACATTTTTTGCTTTGTGCTGGCCTGCGTCACAAAAAGGGTGTTGCATTGAAAGTCAATCAAAAAACTGTCTTTAGGCCAACAAAACAATCTAAAGGTTTCCCAAATACTCGTGCAAGATGTACAAAGGTTGAATGGAGCAGTGTTTCACATGTTTGCTCTGCACTGCCCTGCGTCACAAACGCGGTGGTGCATTGAATGGCACTTGGAAAGTGATTGTTCACCCAAAGAACCAACCTAAAGGTTCTCCACAAACTCGTGCAAGATATACAAGCAAAGGTTGAACGGATCAGCGTGTTTTTTCACATTCTTGCTCTGCGCTGCCCTGCATCACAAAAGAGGTGTTGCATTGAAAGGTCATTGAATAGTGATTGTTAACGCAGAGAAACAATCAAAAGGTTTTCCATATACTCGTGCAAGATAAACAAGCAGAGATTGAACGGATCAGTCGTTTGTTCACATTGTTGCTCTGCGCTGCCCTGCGTGACAAAAGGGGTGGTGCATTGAATGGTAATTGGAAAGTGATTGTTAACCCAAGGAACCCATTTAAAGGTTCTCTATTAATTGGTGCGAGATATAAAAAGCAGAGGTTGAACGGATCAATGATTTTCACATTTTGGCTCTGCGCTGCGCTGCGTCACAAACGGGGTGTTGCATTGAAAGGCAATTGAGAAGTGAATTTTGAACACAAAGAAGCAATCTAAAGGTTTTCCATGTACTCACGCAAGATGTACAAAGAGAGGTTGAACGGCGTCACAGAGGTTGGACGGATCAGTGACTTTCACATTTTTGCTCTACGCTGCATTGAAAGGTCATTGAAAAGTGATTCTTCGCCCAAAGAAACCGTCTAAAGGCTTTCCATATACTCGTGGAAGATATACAAGCAGAGGTTGAACGGATCAGTGTTGTTTTCACATTTTTGCTCCGCGGTGCCCTGCGTGACAAAAGGGGTGGTGCATTGAATGGTACTAGCAATTGGAAAGATTGTTAACCCAAAGAACCAATCTAAAGGTTCTCCAATAACTGGTGCAAGATATACAAGCAGAGGTTGAACGGATCAATGATTTTCACAT